CCATTCAAGCCGTCTCCAGCCATTATTAGTCTCAAAGTGGATTCCTCGTCATCGAAATCGAATTTGAAATACTGGTTGTGTTGTTCTGTACTGTCCAGAAAATTAGTTTTTTAATCATACTTCTTCTTTAGATTCTTGTTTTAATTTTTTATTAAGAATATCTAACTTACTCAGATGATGAATATGATGACTTGACAGTGTTACCAATACTTCCGTTTATGTGATGTAATCCAAGTAAAGGAGAATTTGGAGAAGAGGAATCTGACTGAAATTGCTTAAGGTCTTCCACATCAGACACAGAACCATTCCTATTCTTCTTACTTCGAGAAAAGGCTTTGCTGAAAGAACTTCGGAGCTATTAAAAAAGAAAAGATAATCAAAAAAGGATTTATGATTTACCTATGACAAGTAGAGGACTAATGAATTATTTTTCAAGGAATATTAAAACAATCAGATGATTGAATATGAAAATTAATCAAAGAAAACCTTATTTTTGTAACCACTAACTATCCTGTACATTTTTATCAACAGAATGTGTATTGTTATTTGTCATACTTGTATAAATCTGAGGTTTGATAAAGATCATTTATTACTATAATTTTAGCCACAGTCTTGCTTTCATAACTAGGTAAACATATGCACGACTAATCCATTCTTATATACATAAGAGAATATTTAATTTCAATCCAAGCAAAGTTACACGAGCGCTATCTACACATAGACATCCCTAATTTTGAACTGATGGATTAGAGGAAAGGCAGCTAGTCAACAGCACTCACTGCCAACCCTTGGGCTACTCTTATCAGATTGAGGTGGTCATCACTTTTATAGCCCATCCATGTCCTCAGAGTGCAGAGCAAGTTTTTGTGGCAACAGTTTGCAAACAATGAATTCTGGGATTTATAGTCTGTACATGCTAGCCACTAAGGCCATGCCTGGCTCCTTTACATTCACAAATTCCTGGAGAAAATGTGTAAGCTGTATTTATGTACTGCATCCTTCATATGAGGAAATACATTCAATACAGAAGTTCATTATCTACCATAACCCCAATGAAGTAAACATTTGGTGTTACATGTCTGTAAATGTAAGTCACAATACTGGAAACATGCATAGGATAAAAAAAGAAAAGATGATAAGTCAAATTTAGAAGACAGAACGACTTGTCTTGACTATTTGTTCATTCACCAGTGCTAAATTGGAAGTCTCTAGTTTAAATGAATGTTAAAAAGCTGGAGGTTATCAAACAAATGATATTAATGTTGACCTTTCATAATACAATGTAAAACAAAAATTGAAATGACTGATGACCTTATACAAATTGATGTGAATCAAAATGATGTCACTAAAAACCTTTTAAAACATGGTGTGAAACAACACAATATGATGTAATACAAACTGATATTACTGAAAAATGTCCACAAAAACTTTTAAACACGGTAACATGACTTATGAACTTCGAATACATGACAAAAAACAATGAGGTGTGAATTATATAACTTTTCACATATTGCAGAATGTTTTGAGCACATGATAATATTATTAATACCTGGTTTGTTTGGTCATTAACTTTTCTAAGTTGCCTTTCTCTCAGCCAAAATGGTTTACATTGTGTATAAGTTATAATCTGTTTAGTTTGCTTAAGAGACTACTGATATACCTCTAACCAACAAAGAGTTTTGGATGAGGCAGCTATTGATGATGTGTAAATCGTCAAAACCTCATGGAAACTCTTCAGGGTGTGTCACTGAGGATGAACATTGTGCTGCTGAATAATTTTGTCCATGACAAAAACTTTGGTGTCAAACTGACAATACCTAATTCTATTGTTACGCCTCCAGTCGTTAATTGATTTTCCGTAACTTCGTTCCGACGAAACTTTAGCGACACAAGTCCTTACTTAATAAAACTGGTTTATTCTTTCCGAATACAACTTTACAGATACACTTATTTTCAACAGTCGCTCTATAACAAACGTTTTAACAATGAACGTACCACTAGTCACGTGACTTCGCTGACGCAACACTGCCCCCTCCTTAGTATTGTTTGTCCCAAACAATAGCCACATACAATAAACCAATAACAATTAACAATAACTTAATTAAAGGTACAGAATTACAATCACAAAATTACAATTCAACAAAGTCTCTTAATTTTATGGGACGTATTTTCTTCCGTACTGGTCTCCGTCTCGTTGGCTTCTGCTTCATATGGGGGTTCTTCTGCTTCATCAGGAAATGTTCTATCATTGGTAACAGCCACATCAGTGGTAGTAACTTCATCAAGAGCTTCATCGTTTCCCTTCTCAAAACTGAGTAGAGTTTCATCTTCGACATTGGCTTTTTCAGGTGACATCTCTTCAGCAGCGTCATTTGTTCCTTTGTTCACTTCGTCCCAACTGAAATGTCCTGGACCGTGATAACGCCAAAGCCTGTTGGCATGCACCACTTTTGGCTTACCTCGCCGACCACATTTTATCGGGAAAGTCACGTCTGAGAGACGATCCACTATGTCATATGGGCCTTCCCATGGAGAAGACAACTTAGGAGACTTCCCTTTGGTCTTCCTGGGATTATACAACCATACCTTGTCTCCAGGTACAAAGCTGACTTCAGTAGATCTCTTATCACAAGATAACTTCGTTGAATCAGCAGACGTTTTCAAGTTTGAACGCACTTAATGGTGAATATCATCCATCCTTTTCGATAACACTTTCACAAACACTGACTCATTCTCAGGCAACTCTTCATAAAGTGTGTGTCCCATATGCTTGGGTCCCTT